CTTTAATAATTGCATTATAGAATAAAATTTTCAAGGATTATTAGAAAATATTTAAAAAATTTGCTTATACTTTCACTAGTATACTTGTGTGGACAGTGGCGGAGCCCACCCAAAAATTTAGGTGGTGCTAGCCCTAAAATTAAGACGGAGGCCAAAAAAGTGACATATCAAAATATTTATTATAATTAAAGAAATTTATCAAGAAAAAATTTACTATGAATTCTAGCATAGTTATTTAAATTATGTACTAAATAATGTCACATAACATTGATTCAAATGAACAATTATCAATAATTATATCAAAGCAAACAAATTTAGATGGTGTATTGGTTCTTTACATTGAGTATTTGATTTTCTATTTAGATGTGCCAAATTATGATTTTAACCTTAGTTAATTATAATTAATTATATAATTATATATAAAAAGTAAAAAAAAAACATTAAAACAAGTAGGTGCCAAGGCACCTGCTGCCATGAATGTGGCTTCGCCACTGTGTGTGGAAATATTATTTCATTAAAAAAAATCAAATTATGAAAAATTTATATTTTGTATAGAGGATTTTATGAAATTTTTAAATATTTATTTTTCAAAATAATTTTCAAAGCATTAAATTCAATAATATATACTTTTAAAATTATAATTTTAGATGGAATGTGAGTTGACCTTAACTCATAGAGCTTTTAATCCTTGCAAGCCTTTATTATTTTGGATCATTTGCCCCTACCCTACACAGGCTAGGGTCTTATGAGATAGACTGACCCATTTTGACATCTCTAAACGAAATATTACACCCTTTAAGGACTATAAACCTAACTTTAACTCCACAACAGTATAGGATTTTTACTTATGATTTTTTTTTTGTTATTTGTTATTTAATGACTATATTCTATTTTTGATTGTCTTATTCCAACCTCAAATAATTTAGAAGGATGTTTGGCTATAGTAGATTTATAAAGAGATCATCAGTGTAAATTTTTTGAAAGCTTTTGATAATACACTTGATATTTCCTTTATTTCGAGAGTATTTGATATTTAAGGTAGATGATTATTCCCTATATGAATATTTTAAGTTTATTAGGAAAATACCTTGCCAAGAGGATTATTGTTGATTTTGCTAGATCAAATTTGACTTCAAAGATTAATTTTGACCCCGCTTTTGCAACACTTAAAATATTTGAGGCAAAAAAATGGTTCATTTGAAAAGCTAATACCGGTTAAATACTAGTTGGACCGCGATTTATAGCGTGTCCACTAGTTTGATACTGGGTTGACTACATAATCGATTCATTTCCTGAATTGGACTGACCTATGATTGGGTTCCTGATTGAACCAGTTGGACTGATTGATCCAGTCCGATTTTTATAAAATGTGGTTTTAGCAATATTTTAAGATATTACCAACCATATTTAAAAAGATATTGCTAATTTAATTTTTTTTCACAACATTTAAAAAACTATTGTAATTTACCTTTTGTAACATTCAAAAAATATTACTAGAAAACTTTTTTTATAACATTCAAAAAGAGATTGCTAATTTATATATCTAATTCGAACCAGATTTAGCTTAGAAGGTTACCCTTTAGAGGTGGAGAGTGGAAACTAATTTTCAATAGTCTTCTCTTCCATTTAAGTTCTTAAAAGTTGTAATGATGTTTTAATTAGATAGAGTTGCAATAGTCTTCTAGTTCATTTGAGGAGCTACCTCTTGTTATGGCTTATGCATGATTGTTTCAGATTATGTCCTATTCTCTTGTATCTTTTCACCTAAAATAGAAGATAAAATAGAAATGCTTTGGTTTGAATTGAAGCATGTAAAATTTATCTTAGCTACAAGTAAGAAAAGTAAAAAAAAAAATGAAATAAAAAGTTCATAATTGAAGCAATCAAATTTTGATTTCACACTTCTATTAATGGCTTACATGATGTAATATTTATAACATGATACAACACTTGCTACCTTCCAATTCAGTCACAATTAATTGCATTTCATAGATTATTTCACTTCTGACATGAATGAGTAGTTTTGAACTTTGTGTTTGTATCTCCATTGTTGAAAGATGGAATGAATGACTAGTTTAGTCAACAAATTTGCTATTTATTTTGTTGAGGGTATGTGATGAACTTCTAGTTGCTTTTGTTAAATATTTTCTCTAACAAATTATAGATCAAGTTCAAAGTGCTTTGCTCTGGAATGCAAGATGGGATTTGACACTAGCATAACTACATTGAGATTATCACAGTAAACTATGGAAGGCATAACAATAAGTAGGTATGTTCACTCAAAAGTGATTTGATCCAAGTTATCTCAGCAACAACTCTTGCTATACTTTTGTATTCAATATCTATACTGAAACGAGACACCACTTATTGCTTCCGTAATGATTAGGAAATCAAGTTATTACCAAGGAAAACAATAAATTTTCTATCATCCAAATTTAATCCCCAATCCAAGTGCTAAAATGTTCAACTTTGAAGAATTGAATAGTATTATGTAACATCCGGTTCTAGAACCGATTTGTTAACATTACGTATGACATTAAGCACAGTTACAATCACAGCAATCGAATTAAAGTACGGATAAACTTTTTCCTTTTTTTTATAAACGTTTTTATTTAAAATCAATTTCATAATTAAAACAATTCCAATAACCGTTATCATAACTTAAACTATGTGTGAAATACTTAATGTAATTTTACTTAGACCATACGTTGCTACCATAGTGTGCCAAGTAGTCCTTTTAGACCAACAAGGCTTAAAAGCTCCTTTTTATTGATGTTCAACACTAAACACCTTCACTTTTTAGTTACACAAGAAATTTTATACAACTTTTACGGTCCTCATCTTCCCATATGTTATAGATCTCTTTGTTAGCTACGCATGGGTTCAAACCATGCTCAATTCAAAGTACCGTAGCTCAAGTTATGAATTTTTTAAGAAAAGGGTGCTGAATTTCACAGGAGTCCCGCGCTCACAGGGCGAAACCCACGCTGGTAGCACGGAAACACTGGTTTCTTCGCGTCTTCCCGCGCTGATAGGACCATGGATCTGGAGATTTCACCCTACCTTAGTATTTTATCCATAACTTGAGTTATACTTATTCGATTGATGCAATATTGGTCTCGTTCGAAAGCTAAGTAAAAGATCTATAACTTCCATTATATTTACAAATCTATCATATAGGATATGAAAAATGGACAACAAGACATGATTTCCTTATATTTACATTAATTCTCAACCCCAAAGGTTTTCTTTCACCTAATAGACATTGTACCAAACCTCCAATACCTAAATTTTTGCCATTTCAAGGCTTACATGATATCCAAACAGGCTTAATTACATCAATGTGCTTCAAAATGATTATATACCAAAGACTTAGAAATAACAAGTGATGAAAGTCCCAAATTAGGTACACAAGGGCTATACAACATCAATCATCAACTTCTAAGTCCTATATGCATTCATCCATCACTAATGCATCAAAATATCTCAAATATCATCTATCATATGCAAATTACTTGGGTCCTTTGCCTCGCCCAGTATCATCTCTGCTAACACCTGAAATAGCAGTCCCCAAACTGGGTGAGATAAAATTCAATAAACCCAGGGTTCTTGGAGAATTCCTCAAACCCCAGAGTTTACTTCCTGCATGAAGGGTTAGTATACACATGGCATGAACTACATCATATATCCAGAGGCAATAACAGTAATGATTTTAACTGCAGCATACTCATGCATTCAAATGGCCAAAGAATTAAAGAATCAAATCATCACACCAGCTTCAATTGCATCTTAGTCATTTCCACTAAGCATACAACCTTGCCCTTAGTGCTTGTCCATTAGCCCTTTCTCCAATGACATAACAATACTATATGAATGCAAAGATATCATAATACTAACATTATCACTCAATCATCCATTCATTAACCATTACTTTCATAAAAGTAATGGTGGAACAACAAGAGGGATTAACCTCCAAGATCTAAAGGTTTACCTCTTGATGTTTCCTCTTCTTTGCAAGCTTTCTTCTAGCTCACTTATCCAAACCAACCCTTCTTGGTATCTTAACTTGGTAATTCCTTCCAATTACCAACACACCCTATTCAAGAGTGTGAAATCCATCAATTTAACATACCTACAACATATTCAAAAACCACACAATCCAATTCACACCATAATTAAGGCATGAACTTACCAATCCATATGAGCTACTCAAGCTCCATGGCTTCCTCCAATGGTTGGTCACTCAAGGATGGTCCACTTGCTGCAATCCTACCAACACAATGGGCACCATTAACACAACCAATCCAATCCACATTACTTGAAATATAAGAAGTCACATCAACATAGGCATAATTTTTGAATTTTAATGAAGATGTGAAAAATAACATTCCAACTACATTTTCACCATTAAAATCCTCATCTAAACACATTTCCCAACACGAGCTAAGCCTAAATCCAACTCAAACTCATACAACCCGTAAAACAATATTCATCATCTTTAAACTTTTTGAAATCTCGCTGAAAATAGCTTTGAGGAGTGGAAACTTACCACAAAAGAACACTCAACGAAGGAATGAGTATCCTCTAAGCTCCCACAGAAGGAAGTATCCTCTAAGCTCCCACAGAAGGAAGTATCCCCAAACTCCTCAAATTACTAAGTGGTTCAAATTCTTGGGAAGGAGATATCTTTCTCCACAAAGCTTCCCACTCAAAACTAAGCTAGGATTTGGAATGAGGAGAAGATTCTTTACGTTTTTGGCTTTGGAACTGATGGATTTGGTTGAGAAATGGGGAAGCTATTCAAAATTTGTTCTCCCTCCCTCTCTGATTTGCTCGACTAAGAAGAAGGAAAATGAGGGGTTTATGTGGTTTCTTCACTTAACTTACTTAAGTTAAGTTAAGAAGAAGGAAGTATTCAAAATTATTTTTGGCATAACTTGCTAGAAAGTTTGGATTTGGAGAAATGAAATTATCCATAATTCTAGTTGTGTGGATAACAGATACAAGTTAGAGTTGATTAATGCTATGGCTATAGAGGTTATGTCAGCCAATTCTTTAGAGCAAAACAAGAACTCTGGCAAATTGATGGGTATAGAGATGATAAGGTGGATACCACCAGAGGATGGTTGGATAAAGCTTAATACAAATGGAGCATCTAAAGGGAACCCGGGTATTGCATCCTGTGGTGGCCTCTTAAGAGGTCCTGATGGTAGATGAATAGAAGCATTTTCCTACAGAGTGGGCTTTTGTAATGCAATTATAGCTGAATTGTGGGGGGTTCTAAAAGGTTTGGAAATGGCTTGGGTTGGAGGTTAGAGGAATTTAATTTTAGAAAGTGACTCAGCTTTTTCTATCACTTTGCTCACCAAGTATGGTGATGCATCCTGTGAGTCGCATTTAGTGACTCGGATACGGGAATGGCTCTCAAAAGATTGGAGTGTTCGTTTGGTGCATACATACAGGGAAGGCAATTGTTGTGCAGACTGGCTAGCTAATCTTCCTTTGCATAATTTGGAGCAAGAAGATTTCTCTATCTTTCAGGATCCCTCACCTGAAATTAGATGGTTATATTTTTCTGATTTTTGCTCTGTTCATAGGGATAGACACTCTTTGATGTAATTATTTTAGTTTTGTTTTGGGCATTGCCCATTCACCAAAAAAGAAAAGTTCAACCGGGTAAAAACTTATCTATCTAGTTAACTCTGTTCTCTTTCAAACTTTATCCAAAGATCTGAAATATTTTTCTAGGAATATTTTTACTTTTACTTTTATATTTGGGTACTTTTGCATACATCCATTTTTATCCCTTAATTCTAACTAACTGTACTTTTTACCTCAAAAGTGACTCTAATTAATTTAATTAGGCCTTTTACTTATTCCAACCCATTAATACATGCTAAATTACGTAATTACATGTAATTTACTATTTAATCAAGTTAGGGATTATATGTTAAACTATTGGTCTGAGTACTGTAACACCACATCTGCAACCGGTATGTTAATATACAAAATGGTATTTTAAAGTGCAGCACACTTATTAACTTAAGTGGAAGACTCTAAATAAAGTATCGTTGTTACCCTTGTAATTATGTGACTTAACTTTTCCCATTTTAGTTTCCTTATGTATTGTCATGCATAATGTATTTTTTGTATTACTATATATTGTACAGTCTCATACCTGCACAGATTTCCATCTTACAAACCCTGTAACCATAATCAATGGTCAGTGACTATCCGAGTATGATAACATGTACCATCTCGGATAGAATCTAACGGACACCATCGCAACTGTAATCTGGACTATCTAGGGATAATTCCCACATATACATGGTACCTTAAAATCAGAAAAGTCCAGTACCCGTATATATACCAAATTGTCCAATACAGTGGACCAAAAATGGCTTTGTGCCAACATTCACATAATCTATCATGTTGAACATATACTCATATGCATGCCAACATGAACTCATACAATTGTCTAAAGGCTACACTTGCCTTCATTACGAAATATAAATACAACTGTATCTCATAATATACAACTATACAAGAGTGCATGATTGTTATGTGGTTTGCTGATGGTGGAAATTATATATTCTGATAAGGGACGTTCCTCTGTTCTAAGTTAGCAACAGAAAATAGAGTTGTTTCCTTAATTCCAACCCAAGTGCGCAAGTGCACACATCAAGTAATAATGGGTGTATTAAGGCCCAGATTATCGTTCCCACGAGGATAGAACTCTAAATATTGTCTTAAACTATTTTAAAAAGAATGAAAATGAGAAGAAAATTTAGTGAATGAACTGTCTGGTCAAACGTTCCCTACTGTCTTGACAACGTTTCTCAAGAACAATAAGTTCAGTCTGATGGCAAACAATTGCTCGCTGCGTTATGTATGTGATCCTTCTTGTTTAGACGAAGGTGTGATAATAATCATTGGAGTTTGATAGATACAAGATTAAACAAAGTAAAAATAAAACAGTAGTTATAACTATAATCAAGAGACAACAAAGTGGATGGTTTGAAAAACAATTTAACAGAAGGAACGGATTCACTGCTACATTCTTAAATAGTTATTTCCTCTGTTCAAGACTTAGCACTTTTTGGCTTTGTCCCAGTTTCTTATCTGCCAACTCTGATTACTCAGCTCATGGACTAGATGGCTCAAGAGTTTCCATATTCCTACGGCTCCCTTGACTCCAACATGTACTTAGTACAAAACCTTAAAATGGACGAAGTGGCCCCTTATTCCTAAGGTGACCAATAGTGTTTTTGCCATAACACTACCTTCTCCCAATGGCTAAGCTGTCTGAAATCCCTTCCTTAAGGAAGTTTCTTTCTCAGTATGTGTTCAATTTCCATTGATACACAATGAATATAGCTTACTTAGCCAAAGAAATACAAAAAGCTTCAGTCAAAAGTTCTGGAAATAATTCTTTAAGATTTTTACAGCTTATCCGTTCCACAGATAGTTCAGCCCATGGCTGATATTTTAAACATAATTATTCTAAACTGAAATCCCATAGACCCGAGATTCAGTTCAGAGATAACGATTGGAAAGAAAAGAAGAAACACTTATATTGAAATCAAACAAGAAAGATTACAACAAAGTATAAAATGGAGAAGATGGTTTGATGCTCGTGGGGAGTCTTAATGGATGATACAGAGTAAGGAAGAAGGGTTGTCACTTAACTACAGTTAAAACTATACAAAACTAAACTACTAACTAATACTAGGTGATATCTTCTTTTAGGACTTCAATCCCTCCAGAATTCGATGATGTTTTTGTGTTTGGGATGTCCTATTTATAGGTAGAAGAGAGAGTGGCAGTCTTGTAAATCCTTTGGAGTTGGTTTCTTGAATGAAGGGACGGGGCGGTGGCAACAGTGTTTAGAAGCTTGCAAATTGCTTGATGGGACAATTTTTGTTGATGATTAGCCGTTTTCTTGCAGTCTCCCATGCCTTGCTTTCTTCCTAGCCAATGAGAAATCTTGATTCTCTGTTGTTCACGTTTCCTGCTGTTCATGTTTCCTGCTGCTTAAGTGGTGCACCGCCTTGCTTTTTAGAAGACGTTGTTTTCACGTTTTCTGCAAAATGATCAGAGCATTAAATGAAAGTAGCAGGTGTAATAAATGCTCTCAATCTGTTCCCCTTTTAATATGTTTTCAAAGGAATACGTCATCATACGTTCCCCCACTGTGTTTTTGTCACAAATGTGTAAAACAAGTGATTTTCATGCTAAATTGCTCATCATATGAGGGAACATATGGTATTTTTCCATCAAAATGGGCTTAGATGTGAACGAATTTACGTCCCATCAATGATCATGCATCATGCAAAAACAATATATACAGTCGTCCCAATATATACAAATATACAACATCATCTCAAATATTAAATCTCTAACATGGATAGGATCTTTATCCTTGATCTAATCCCTTGCCCTTTTAGGGCTCTCTTATTGTTGGAGTAGCTGAAATATAATCTCCAAACGAGATAAGATACAATATCTCAGTAAACTCAGAGTTTATGGAGTAGTTCTTCATCCATGAGTTCACTTCTTGCATGAAAGGTTAATATCCATATGGTATGAAAATAACATATATCTAGAGGCAAATCCATAACAGTTCAAATGGCCAAATAACATACAATAAATTCATCACACAAACTTCAGTTGTATACCAACTCTTTCCCTAATCCTACAACCTAGCCCCTAATGTCTATCCACTGGCTCTTTCACCAATGATAATGGTGCTACATGAATGCAGTTATACCATATTACTAAGACACTACTCAATCATCCAATTATATAACCATAACTTTCGTCGAAGTCTGATGGAACCACATGAAAGAGTAAAACTCCTAAACCATGAATTTACCTCTATATTCTTCCTTCCAACTTTACTTGAAGTTCAAGAAAGCTACTCCAATATACTTTATACACCAAGATCACCTATTCAAGTATGAAATTAGCATCAACATCACATATAATCATCAAATGTTGACCTAACAGTCAAAACACCATATAAATTATACTTACTATATTCTTGAATTAACAAAAACTAGAGCCTCCACATCTATTTAACCCAAAGCTTTGCTACTCCACTACTAGGTCACTTGTCTCCAACCTAGTTACCAACCAATAAGAATGAAACCCATTAAGGTTCATTTCAAGTATCAATAACCAGAATATTCAACACTTTACATATTCTTCAAACTTGCATAAATCACGTTAAGTTGGTTTCCATATATCCATTTCTTTACCCATCATTCCAATTCATATTTTAATTGTCAATTCATGCCAAAAATCAAGTCATAGTTATTTACTCCCAATTACCAAAGAATACTTCATTATGCCATTTTCCTATAAACCAAGTTAAAAGCTTAGTTTTCACACTTTATTATAATTTAAAATGATATAAGAAATGACTACCAATCACTAATTCAAGCTTAACATGATTCCAACATGTTTTTCCATCAAAAAGTTAAACCATGTTCAAGTGGATTCATCCACTTTTCAAGCCCTCAAAATGCACACCAACCAATCTATTTATCAACACAATATCTAAGGTACAATAGCCATCAACCAAATCACCATTTACACAATTCCATCCCTTGTTTACTTGCCTTTGCCGAATAGTAACCAAAGACTTCCACTAATTTTTACACACTTTCAATGACTATTAACCACACCATTCATCCCTCTATTAATCACTAAACATTATCCCACATCAACATATCAACAAAACACTTCATCTACATTAATTTTTCCATGATGGCTGAATTGCACCCTTAAAATTTTACCAATCCTTCATGCTTTTTATTAGCTATTTAATAATTCATTCAACTTCAAATTAATCAAGGAAAACATTCACAACAAGAACAATCACATAACCTGATCCAACATCATGAAAATCCATCAAAATATCCAAGGAAATCTAAGTTCATATTTTGAAAACTAACCATTAAAATTCAAGTTTCTTATCTTGGTTGTGTTCTAAATCACCAATGGATTATTCTCCAACCTTAAAAAACTTCAAAAGCTCTTTCCAAGCTCCATGAACAGTGTCAGGGTCGATGGAAACAAAGAGGAAAATCTCACGAAACAAAGCCTTTCATGGTGACCTAAGACTAGGGTTAGGATCCAAAGATGACAAGCTTCAATTCTCGTCAAAGAAGCTTGGTGCTTTAGAGAGTAAGTAAGGAGATAAAATTTTGGAA